CCTTTGTGGAGACGAGCTGCTCCTTCAGCTGGCATTAGGCTTCAAAGTTCTTTCTCTCTCTTTCTCTCTCTCTGCACATGCTTCCTAACATCTTCATCCCTGCCTGGGAGCTGCATCACTGCCCTGTGTGCTCTGTTCTACCACGTAGAGCGTTTGGGCATCCCTCAGTCTCCAATGTCTAATTTACACCCTGGTGTCTATGGGAACCTTTAGGCAAACTGACCACATCCGTATCTCTACAATCATTTTAAAAGACATTACTAGGTCAGACGTGGTGGCTCACATCTTTAATCCCAGCACTGAAGAGGCTGAGTGAGGCAGGTGGATCTATGTGAGTTTGTGGCCAGCCTGTTCTACAGGACTAGTTCCAGGATAGCCAAGGCCACACAGAGAAACTCTGTCTCAAAAAAGTAAAACGAAATGTCTTAGTTTGGGTTTTCATTGCCGTGAAGAGACACCATGACTATGGCAACTCTTATAAATGAAAACATTTAATTGAGGGGGCTCGCTTACAGTTTCAGAGGTTCTGTCCATCATCATCATGGTGGAAGCAGGCAGATGTGGTGCTGCAGAGTCCTACATCTTGACTCAGAGGCAACAGGAAGTTGACTGACTGTCACACTGGGGGAAATTTGATCAAAAGAGACCTCAAAGCCTGCCTCCACAGTGACACACTTCCTCCAACACTCCCTTTGGGGGTCACTTTCTTTCAATCCACCACAAAGAAAGAAGCTTAAAGCATAGATGGGTCAGTTGTTACAGAGATGTCTTCTCTGACAGGGTCATTGTTCCTTCTGATCCAGGGATGGGCTATGAAAATCCTGCTGCTGAGCTATTTTAAACAAAGATCATGGTCTCCATGAGATCCTGTCTCAAAAACCCTAAACTTAAAAATTAAAAACAAATAAGAAATCACTCTCGATAAATGAAGTAACTCAACATTGCAAGTTCTATGTGAAGTCCGAGGTTGTCCTCCAAGATCTCTACTTGGGTGTAGCCAGAACCTTGACTTATACTTCAGAAAACAAGTTCAAACCAATCCAGTATGAAGCAAACGTGGAGTTTATTAAGCAAAGAGTGCAAATCTACAGAGCAGAGTGCAGGCATAAAGAGATGTACACATGTGAATGCCAAAGCAGTAACCACATGAGCCCGGCAGGGGCATGGGCATGGCCGTATGTACCTGTACCCAAGACATGGTGCATGGTGCATAGAGATAGACAGATCTGGAAAGCTCCCTGGCCAGCCAGCCTAGCCAAAATGGTGAGCTTCCTGTTCAGTGGGACACCCTGTGTCAAAGCAACAAGGCAGAAAGAGAGAATGAAGACACTCCATGTCCTGTTGTGAAATAATCTTTGTGTACACTGTGAAGATGTGTCACTCTGATTGGTTTAATAAAAAGCTGAACAGCCAATAGCTAGGCAGGATTTTCAGGGCAGAGAGGATGTTGGGAAGAAGGAGAGATGCCAAGCAGCAAAGCAAACAGCATGGCATTACAAAGTAAAAGTAACTGAGCCACATAAAAGAGCATAGATTAAAAATTACGGGTTAATTTAAGTTGTAAGAACTAATTAGAAACAAGTCTAAGCTATCAGCCAAGCTTTCATATTAACATCTTCATGTTATTATTGGGGAGCTGACAGTTGCGATGAAAAAGACTGACTACACAGTTCTGCTTCAGTCTCTGCATGAGCCTGTTCAGTGTATGCATCACACATATGCACTAGACTCACACGCACACACACACTCTCACACACACACACTCACACAGATATATATATAAAACATGTATATTTATATATTATATATATATATATAGTATTTATGCTATATTCTACAAAGAACATAATCTAGATATTTAAAGATCAAAGAATTCTTACACAGGACAAGACTGGTTAGCTGTTTGTTTGTTTGTTTTTATGGTTAACTGTTTCACTAATCCTGTTTGTGATACTTGTAAGAAAAGAGAGTATAGTTCCTAGAAACTTGTGAGATTTGATCAATTGTGTCAAAACTCTTGACTCTTAGCCAATGAGAAATATAAACTAGATCCAAGAGTGTGAGGGGCTATTTCCTTTCCCTCGCCTTAATTTTCCCTCTCTTCCTATCTTTCCTCATGCTCAGCTCAATGGAGCACTTCTGTCCCAAAGTTTCTGGGTATGTCATGTAAGAAATCCTTGGATTGCAAACGAAAGCCAATCAACATTTCTGAACTAAACTTGTCATTTTTTACTTCTGATATGGTGGGGAGGCAAACCCTTATCATGGGGTCTGAATTTGCACCAAGAGGACAAGGGACAAGCCTCTCTGGGACAGGCTGTAGTCTCTGTGGTAGTCCAAGAGGCCATGGGGAAAGACCCAGTGAAGTGGGGGTTTATGCCACTTTCCTTATGCCTCCTGTTTCTTCCTCCACTTTACAAAATCCAGAGAGCACTTCTTCACACTTACAAATAAAAATAGTCCTCACAGATAACAGCCAAATTCCTAACCCCAACTTCCCAGTCCTGCACCAGCTGCCATCAGCTTTGCATGTGCCCACCATCCTACTCTCCTTGCTCTTCCAGATTCACACACTCACCACCCAGGGCTTTAATGCTTCCATCTGGATCACCACTCACCCAATACCTACTTTTCTCTTCCTCACATGAGTTTTCCCAGTTGCTCTCTGAGCAGAGATACCTCCCAGCTCTACACTTCCCAGCTTCCCTAGCTCCTTCCATGCTCTAACCCACCCCCCTTATTTCATAGCTTTGAAGTATTTTATAGTGACATCGGTTTGTCCAATTCCTCTCATTGGAAGAGGACTTCGAGCTAAACTGCTGCTACCTCTCCAGCAAATGGCGCCGTCAACATGGGCTGAGTGAGTCTCTTTACCAAGAGGGCAGAGGAAAAGGAGAAATGTCAGTTATCCTGCAGCAGCAGGAAGCCTTGGAAAGTGTGGACTATCTATTCAATGCCTGCAGAACTAGGCATGAGGTGAGGTTTACACATGTCATCTAGAATTAGTGGGCAAGTGTGGGCTCTGGCTGGAACATGGCTTCTGGGTGAAGCAGACCAATTCAAGCTGCTGAACTGGCAGCTCAGAATTCTGTCTTTGCCTTCACTGACTTCTGATACTTCAGTCACAGCATTAGATGAAATCCTGGAGTTACCTACCATAGCTGTATGATGACCATCCTTGTCTCTGAACACATAGGGGAAGGATTTGGAGATATGTCCCATCAGAGGAACCTCTTACACTTAGAAAAGAGGGAGGCTGCCGGGGACCTCAGGACCAGGTTGGGCAGGGGTGAGGTGCTCTGGACTCTACATAGGAAAGGTAAGGGCGATAGATTGAAACTGTGACAAGTAGGTAGACTTCTGTCCCAAAGTTTCTGGGTATGTCATGTAAGAAATGCATGATCATTCTCTCAGGGTTTGATATTGGATGGTATGATGCATCCCTAATAACAGAAAAGAGAGCTAGATGATAGTGAAAGGAAAGGCTTCCAGGAACTCCGGGGGAGATGCGGGGGAGAAGACACAAAAGGGCTATGTCTAGGAAAAAGGAAAGACTATAAAGGAAGAACCTCAGAGTAGGAAATTAGGAAAACATCATGACATAAGGAAAACTGAGAAAGAAAAGCAGACAGCGCAGTGAACATAAGCAAACGACGGGAAAGGAGCCAATGTTCTGTTGCCAGTGCTTATCTTGAACTTGGAGAAAAGGGAGGGGGCAGAGCTGAAATCCTGGTGGCTGCCTAGCTCTGTTCCTGGGATCTGTGACCCAGCAGCCCTGCCCTATTTCCGGCTCCTCAGGGCAGGACACCCTTGCTATCTGGGATAAGCTTCCAGTCCCAGATGGTGAGCCTTCTAGGAAAGGGGTGGAAGATCGGAATGTCTGACTGCAGGTTGTTAGGACTGACACTGCTTATTCTAGCCCCTCCCTAGGCTCCATCCTCTCTACTGGAAGGTCCTGATGACTCAGAGGGTTCAAAGGGCCAGTCTAACAGGGCCAAGCACTAGGATTCATGGTCAGTTCTAGGGACATTCAATCAAAGGAAATTAGTCCTGGAAGAAAAGGACTAGAAGAGAGGAGCAATCTGCAGCATGACTTCTGGGGTGTCTCAGGCTTAAGGAGAGGGACGATTCACTCTGATGGTCTACAAACAGTACCTAGAGGTCCTGAGGCTCCAAAGACCAGAACTCCTCATGTAGGAAGACTTGTATATTCTCAGCTTCCCACATACCCATTGGACTGGCTGTTTCTGGAAGAAGAGATGGGGAACCCACAGATTTAAAGGAAGGAGACTCTTGAAGAGTCTGGACTGAGAGTAGATAGATGTAGGCACAGAAAACAGACAATCCAGGCACAGCAAAATTAAACCACAGCAGGCTTTGATGTTCGCTATATAGTCTTTAGAAACTTTATGATTGTCTTTTTCATAATAAAATGTCAACAAATAGAGAAAATTGTCAGACAAATACTTGGCACAGCTCAGTGTTGAAAGTGTTTTTGTATTCTGGGAGAAGATATATTACAAATACCTGGAGAGGGCAACATTTAGCCAGCAGGTCTCAGGCAAGAATACCTGATCACTTAGGGTAGGGAGAATCATCCTCCAGGCCTCCAGGATTACATTCTCATTTGTCTGTCTGTGTTTTCAGACAGGGTCTCATGCTGTAGCCAAGACTGGCCTTGAACTCATGATCCTCTTGCCTTGCCCCCGCCTCTGCAAACGTTGGTGTTACACAGATGAACCACCATGTCTGAGTTAATTACACTCTTTAGACACTAGCCACTTTTCCTACCCTTCAGTTGGGCTTTAAATAAATTTATTCCATCTCGTCACAAATCTGCACTTTGTGTAGAGTGGACCCCACCTTGCCACCTGTAACCGTAGAGGGAGAGGCGGGATAAGATGTTCCAGACCCTGCTTGACACCTGACCTGAAGAGGTTGGTCATGTTTGCTCAGCAGGTGAGGTTCACATGATAAAGAACAGTGGGAGGGCTAGGACTTGGTATAAAAGGTCTGGGAATTTCTAGAAGATTTGCACCTGAAACTGCTAGGGGAAAGGTGAGTTGGGGGAAGATCTCCAAATCTGAGCTAGGAAGACGATGCCTGGACTGTAGCAGGGGAGGTGTGGGCAGCAGCTCCTGGATGTGAGCTATTTTGGGGTGCAAAGACGTCTGGCTTTGGCTAAGGAGGGTGGATATGTACAGGTTGAACTGATGGAGACAGGGTTATGACACACAGACAAGTTGCCTAGGACCTGGTGTCTGAGCTTGTGCAAGCTGCTCCTAAAACCTCTCAGCCTCTCTCAGTTCCAGGGCTCTCTGGACATTGGTGAACTGTCTTCTATTGCCCTTCGCTCTAGAGGTGACATAGAGGCACCTCGAAAATGTTCTTTATCTTGATTGAAGAGTAGGGTGATGCTAGAGATTTAACTGTGCCTCAGACAGCTTATAAACCATCTGATTTCAGGGAGGTTTTGCTCTGATTCTTGGATAGGTCAGCTGTCTCCATGCTTTGGAGTTGGCCTTTACTTCCTCTTCAGAAAACTCTGGTTCTTTGTGCATGGATGGAGGGAGGCTTGACTCAGCTTAACACAGACAGAAAGTTAGGATTATCTTTTGGATTGGGAGAGAAGGGTTAGTTATGGTCAGAACAGGGAGAACCAGAGGGGTTAGGGACCTGGAAAATAATATCTGGAAGGAACAGGACTATCTGTGGGCAGTTTTTCAGGTCTCTTAGATCTGAATCGAAGCATCACCATATGGGTCTGTATTCCAGGCCAGAGATGCCTGGCATCCAGAAAGGAATGAGCCTTCCTTTTGTCCTTCTTCCCACTGCAGCTTCAGAATGTTGGCCATCATTCTCTTAGCCCTTCTCTGTGCCTCGGCCTCTGGCAATGCCAGTAAGTGAAATGCCACCGATCTGGTAATGGGATCATGGGAAGGCAGCCTGTGTTCTGCCGCTGCTGATCGGGCTGCCTGACACTGGTTTGGGGTGGTGGGAGGAATGAGGGTAGTGGAGAAGAGCTGTGCTCCCTGAGTGTCTGTCCCTCCAGGCCTTTCTTTCCCCTCTAGTTCAGTCCAGGTCCTCCTCTTACAGTGGGGAATATGGAGGTAAAGGAGGAAAGCGGTTCTCTCATTCTGGCAACCAGCTGGACGGCCCCATCACTGCCATCCGTGTCCGAGTCAATTCACGTTACATAGTAGGGTGAGAGTCTTCATGTTTCTGTGGTTTGGGGACTGCCTAGGGCCTTAATAGGTTGGGAAAGTCTCGTTTACTCTGGATCACACCTGTTTTAATTGGCAAATCATAGCAAAGTGTTGGAATACCTGGAGTCTAGATCTGTGCTATTATAGTCCCCGAATGCTCATGACCTTGGCAAGTCATGATCACAAACTCTCAGGGGCCTCACATTACCTGGGTTGGGTTTCACCTGAGGTCTAAACCTCTTCCCAATATTTCTGTTGGGCATCCTTTATCTGTGTTTGGTGTCTGTCCTGGGATAGTCCCATCCCTTCCTCCAGCTGGAAACTTCCATCACATGCAGAGCCAAATGCATTTCCTTCTAGTTCAAGTTCTCAACAGGCACAAGGTGCTCATCCGTCTCTTCCTGTCTTGCCTGGGACACTTTCCAATGTTTGAAAATCCTTGGGCTTCTTTGAAGTGTGTGTTGGGGGTGAGCTCAGACTCTGGCTGTCTGAGTGACTCTGCAAAACTTACTTTCATTCCACAAGCCAATTTGCCAGCAAAATGAGAAGCTGAGATTCTCTGAGTGGTCTTCTAGGACCCATGCGGTCTTTGTATCTTGTGGAATTTGTCACCAATTTGAAGATATAGCATATAAACTAAGAAGATTTGATTTAAATATATATATGTATGTATGTGTATATTATATATTACATTTATGTATTTATTTATTATGTTTGTGTGTGCATGTATGGTGGAGCTCAGGTGCCCAATTGTTCATGTGGAGGCCAGAGGGACTCTTCTGTGAGTGGTCCCCTCCCTCCACTGTGTGGGGCCTAGGGGTTGAACTCGGGTGGCAGCAGGCACCTTCACCAGCTGAGTCATCTCTCCATTCCGGGCTTGAATTGTGATAACCATGTTCAGTGTGTTTCTCCTTCCTTCCCGCCCCTGCCGCCAGTCTCCAGGTGCGCTACGGCACAGTGTGGAGTGAATATGTGGGTGGCAAGCAGGGAGACCTGGAGGAGATCTTTCTGCATCCCGGGGAGTCCGTGATCCAGGTGTCTGGCAAGTACAGGTATTACGTGAAGCAGCTGATCTTCGTGACAGACAAAGGCCGCTACCTGCCTTTTGGAAAAGACTCAGGCACAAGTTTCAACGCTGTTCCCTTGCACCCCAACACCGTCCTCCGTTTCATTAGTGGCCGATCTGGCTCTGTCATCGATGCCATTAGCCTACATTGGGATGTCTACCCTAGCCACTGCAACACTTGCTGAGATCCACCTTTCTCTCTGGCAGAGGGGCTGTGTGGGTATGAGAACCCTCTTATCACCAAGCCCCATGCAAACATGCAAATAGATTAATAAAAGAATATGGCTGAAGATGGTGTTTGTCCACATCCTAATTCTAATAAAAAAAAAAGTGTGAAACTTATTTCTGGATTTTTAAAAAGATTAAATTAGGGCCGGCTGTTAGTGGTGCATGCCTTTAGTCCCAGCACTCAGGAGGCAGAGGCAGGCAGATCTCTGTGAGTTCAAGGCCGGCCTGGTCTACAGAGCTAGTTCCAGGACAGGCTCCAAAGCAATACAGAGAAACCCTGCTTTGAAAAACAAAAAACAAAAAAACAAAATTAAATTAAAAGAATTCTGAGACAGGATCTCTCTCTATGTCCTGGAACTCACTATGTAGACCAGGCTGAACTCACAGAGATAGGCCTGTCTCTGCCTCTGGAGTGCTGGGATTAAAGGGGTACGCCACTATGCCTGGCTATATCTGGTTAACATTAATCTGTGGAAATGGGAGAGTGAGCATGAGTGTGCTGGGGACTTTTCTTTATATTATCAAAAAAGAGACAAAATTCTGCTGGCACCAACTCTTCCCAAGGGTAGCCCCTGAGAATTCTTCCTAAAAGGACGTCAGAGGCTAGGGTAAGGCTTGGTTGTACCAACTGGCCAAAACTTGCTCTGCAGCTTTCCTCTATTCCTTTCCTTGGGAAAGTGCTTTCCTGCCCCTAAATGTCACCTTACTGGATTGACATAATGTCACTTGCTGTTTGTGACAGGAGCATTATCCTTTCTTCTTTCCAGAATCCACTTCACTTCTAAAGTTTGGCCTAAGGACTTGACTCTGCCGCTCTAGCCCAGATCCTCTTAATTTTACCCCCAAGCCTGGGTGTTTCTAACTTGGCTCTCTCAAAATTGACTCCTTCCTCAGGAAGCTACCGCATTCCCAATAGTGTGAGCTCTGTCAATGCTGTGTTCAAAAGAAAAACCTCTGGGATGGCATGATAGTGCACAGCTTTAATTGCAGCTCTTGGGAGGCAGAGGCAGGTGGATCTCTGTGAGTTCCAGGCTGGCCTGGTCTACATAGAGACTTCCAGGACAACCAGGGCTAAAGAAAGAGACCGTCTCAAGAAATCAAAAGCAACAGGGGAAATCCTAAGTGAGCCATGGTGGTGCACTCCTGTAATCCAGAACTCGAAAGACTAGGCTAGCCTGGTACACATAGAAAGACCCTAAGAGGCTTAAGGAGGCAAGAAATTGCCACAAGTTTAAGGCCAGCCTGGGGGACATAATGAATTCCAGGTTAGTCTTGGATACAGTGAGACACTACCCCAGAAACCTAAATACACAAATAAATAGATAGATGGGCAAGTCCAAGAAGGGAGGTTTGCATTATGGGTAGCCATGAATATAAGGGGTTGGTGAAAATACAGGGCACTAGATAGATTCAGCAAAGATATAAAGTCACTTTGAAAATAATTCTTAGGATCCCAGTTCTAAGTCCTACAGCACTAACAGTTTTAGTGGGGGGCACTAGGGAATTACTGAAGTCTGGGCTACAGAAGTGTGCCAACACCCCCATTTACATGATTCTGTGGCTTCATGCATGCTAGGTGAACACTCTATCAAAGAGCCATATCCCCAAATGTCCTTTCTTTCAAACAAGTACGAAGAAGATTATGCCACTTTTATTTACATGCAAATCACACAGCATGAAATTCATCCCCTTAAAGTACAATGTGGGGTAGGGCTATAGTCTATGGTGAGTACATGTAATGACATGTAATGAGGATGTGTGTGGGTGATGAATGTGTGTGCTCACCTGTGTGGAAGTCAGATGTTGATGTCACATATCTTCTGTTGCTCTCCACCTTTATGAACTTTTCTTTCTCTCTCTCTCTCTCTCTCTCTCTCTCTCTCTCTCTCTCTCTCTCTCTCTTTCATTCATGTGTATTGTATATATACAGGTATACACATCTGTGCACATGTGTGCATGGGAGGAACAGAGTCATCATTGTGTCTTCTGTCACAGTCCACATTAATTGTTTTGAGACAGGGTCTCTCACTGATCCTAAAGCTTGCTGTTTTGGCTAGGCTGGCTTCCCAAAGACCTCCCAGGACCCAGCTGTCTCTGTTCTCCAGTGTTGGAGCTGCAGTCATTCAAATGGCCATGTCTGGCTTTATGGTCTTCTTGCTTTCACAGCCAGGGTTCTTAACCACTGAACCAAATTGTTATGTATTTGAAAAAACAACAACAAAAGCAAACAAACAAACAAGCATGTATTAGAAGAATTTTTCTTCATATTTTAATGCATTTAATGTATTTTAACAGTTTTGGTTGATGGTTGGGAGATGGTTTGGACAGAAGATTCAGGAGGTTGCTCTTGCATCCGAAGCAATCCAAACAGGGTTCCTCCGTGTATCTCTGGCTGTCCTGGAACTCGTTCTCTAGACCAGACTGGCCTCAAACTCATGGAGATCCTCCTGCCTCTGCCTCCTGAGTGCTGGGATTAAAGGTGTGCACACTATCACCGGCTGGCTCACAATCTTCTTAATTCCTTAATCCCTGTTCCAGGAGATCTGACACTCTCTTCTAGATTACATGTAGTGCCCAGAGGGATGTGCAGGTAAAACACTCATACACATAAAATAAATAATACTTTGCATGGTGGAGCATGTCTTTAATCTCTGAATTGACGATGAAGAGGCAGGCAGATCTCTGTGAATTTGAGATCAGCCTAGTCTAGGACAGCCAGAGCTACATAGAGAGACCCTGTCTTTAAAAAAAACAAAAAAGTCTGTGGTCTAAGTTGCTGGCTGCTATGGGCAATGAATTTTCTTTTGCAGTGATATTGATGACTTCAGACTCATAACTGTAAGAGACATTAAAGGCTTCTGTGACAACATCCCAATCTGCCCCCGACCCTGAAAAGAAGAAAAAGTGCAAACAGGAAGCCACTGAAGAGAGTTTGAAACTGTGATAAAGATGCTAAAAGGTAGAGCTCTCCTCAGTTGATGGTTTCTGTGGGGAGAGGGGACAGGTAGAGTGGTGCAGGGTAATGACACAGGACTCAAATAACTTTAAGGGGCTGGCCACTGGGAGACTGACCATGCTGTAATGAGTATATGGACAACACAAAATGGACTTGGTGTGGGGGGGGCAGCATAAGGGTGGGAGGGTGGACCAATAGGAAATTAGTGTGATTAGGGTGCACTGTATGAATTTCCCAAATAATCAATAAAAAAATATATGTGGGGGGAAATAAATAAATAAATAAAATTAAAATAAATTAAAAAAAAAAACCCTGGGTGGGGGTGTGGCTCTGGGTTTCATCCCAGCACTATATAGGGCCAGGTTTAGCTCCTCATTACTTCATTCTTATTTCCCAGCTGGACTCCCCACCGTTTTCTCCATCATGCAGCTTAAAACTGAGAAGAGGAGCCAGGCAGAGGTGACAGAGTTGCTGGCTAGCACAGCTGTGGCTGTGTCCAGCTTGATGGTGGTGGGGGTAGGGCGAAGCTGCTGTGCAAAAATGCAGGCACCACCCAGGCTCATTGGCTCTAAGGTGTGGTGCAAAGGCATGGTGCACTGTCTTCTCAGAGTTCCCAGAGAACAGTTTTTGGTGTGGCAATTTGGCAAATGTTGATATTTTCTAATACAAGCTTGAAATTTTGCTTTTCAAGACAAATACATCTATTTCTGTGTAGAGTTATTGAGAGCATTCTGGAGTGTTTGTTTTGGTTGGTTGGTTGGTTGGTTTTGTTTGTGAGCTTGGTTATGGCAGTTTGAATAAAAATGGTCTGCACAGGCTCATGCATTTCAGAACTTAGTTACCAGTGAGTGGCACTGTCTGAAAGGTGTGCTCTGATGGAGGGAGGGAGTGTGTCATGGAGGTGGGCTTTGAGGTTTCAAAAGCCCGTGCCAACCCCTCTAGTTTTGTCTACAGACCATGAGGTAGTCCTCCGTTACTGCTCCTGGGTCTGCCTGCCTGCCAAGCTTCCTGCCACGATGTTAATGGACTAAACCTCTGAAACTGTAAGCAAATCCTTGTTGACAGACTTTTCTTTGGGCCACCAGCTCACAAAAAATGACATGGAGACTTATAAATTATAAAAGCTCAGCCCACAGCTTAGGCTTGTCTCGCTAGCTCTTATAACTTATATTAATCCATTTCTATTCATTTATGTGTTGCCATGTTACTCTTCTCTGGCATCTCTCGCTTCCTCTGCTTTCAGCAGGCAACTTTGCCCTTCTTCCCAGCGTCCTCTGTGCTTTGAAATCCTGCCTAGCTAATGGCCATTCAGCTTTTTTATTAAACCAATCACAATGATACATCTTCACAGTGAACAAAAAGATTATTCCACATATTCTTGGTCATGATGTCTCTTCACGGGAATAGAACAGTAACTGAGAACTGGCTTTGGTGGAACTGCCAGGTAACTTGCCTAAGTGTGGTGAATTCATTGGGTTTCACTTGAATTTCAGTAGGTGTTGATATTGGGGAAAGTCTTGCAGAGCAACATAAGAGTTTAGACAACTGTATAATAACAGAAGAACAAGATGTAATCATTAATTTATAAATGTTGGGTTTAGTGTTTCAGTACAGGCACTAGTGTTCATCAAACCTTTTATTTTGGAACTTACAATATGTTAAGGCTTATTGCCAATTCCAAAGGAAACCTCATTTCTTGTCTCTTTTGTCACTGCTCACGTTCATAGCTACATGCTGTGGGACCCTCTCCTATTCCTTTGACACACTCAGAATTGTGTGATGCTGCAGAGTGGGGAATCTGAATGGCTTAGTGAAAACACACCAACATAAAGGAACCGCTACATTTTCCCATGAGGCCTCCTTCAACATCCTTCCCACATGGTTCAGTGGGGTTTTGGTGTTTGTTAGTGCTGCATGATAAACTTGAAGAATTATTTAATATTGGTATTACAGGTGGGAGGTGGTTCATCATATTAACTTGAGAAATGTATTCATTGAATTCATGAGACATACAAACTACATAGTTGCCATGTATGTGTTCTGATTGTGTGGGATGCTAACAGGAGAACACAGCTGTTCTCTAAGCTCTGAACTGAAGACTGGCCC